TGGATGAGTGACCACACCCAAACCCTTGCTCCGACCGCAGGGAACAAACTGACAAACAGAGGCCAGAATGCCTGCTTCTCGCAAACCACTGCATCGGGGGGAAGAAATATTCTACTTTTTTTTGGGAGGGGGGGGTTTGGGCCATGCTCAGAGATGCTCGGGATCACCCGTAGTTCAGGACCACGGCACTAGGACTGACTTCATGCAAGCCTGACCTTCTGTACGACCTCCATAAATATACTCCACCTTCCCCAAATGGCTCTGGGCCACACCCAGCAGTGCTCAGGGATGACTCCTGCTGGCCTCGGGGTGCCGGGGATTGGACCTGGGTTGGCCGCATGCAAGGCAAGTGCTGCTACTTGCTGCACTATTGCTCCAACCCCTCTCTGTAAATATTCTTAATTATGATTTTTAAAAAAAAAAAAAGCATTAACATATGCCTCAGAGACCTGGGCCCTACGCAAGCAGGATGAGAACGCCATTCGGGTCTCCCAAAGAGGAATTGAAAGAGCTATGCTTGGAATATCACGTTTCACTCAAATGAGAGAAAGAATCTGGAGTTCCGACATCTGTCAACGATCAAGAATCAGGGACGCTGTCTCGTTTGCCAAGGTGTCAAAAATCAGATGGGCTGGTCACGTAATGAGATTTAAAGACGACCGCTGGACTAGAGCTGTTACTGACTGGATTCCATGGGACGTCAAAAGACTGCATGGCCGCCCACCTACCAGATGGTCAGACTTCTTCATCAAGATCATGAACGATCGGTTTGAGGCTCTTTGTGTTCCTAGAATGAACAGAAGCCACTGGGCTACACTAGCACGCGACAGGGACAAATGGAAATGTTACTGGTGCCCGCTCGAGCAAATCGACGATTAATGGGAAGTCAAGTGATCAAGTGATGATTTTTTTTGGGGGGGGGAGGTTTGGACCACACCCAATGGTGCAGTGGCAGAGGTCGAACCTGGTTTCGTGGCATTACACGGCAAGTGCCTTAGCTGATGTCCACCTTTCTGGGCAAGTCTAAGTGCATTTTAAATGAATGATCCAAGGACCACAGTAACAACAAGTCTCATGATGGAGACCGCTCGAGCAAATTGATGAACAACGGGAAGACCGTGACCGATCCAAGGACAGAGCTACATACAGGGGGCGGCAGGGGGGCAGAGAAAGGTCCCTTTTTGCCAAGAGTACTCCATCACTGCAGCTCCTGAAAAGGCAATGGTTGAGGGCGCACCTCCGTAAGCGGGAACTCTGTGTGTGTGTGAGAACCCACGGAGAGGGGACCAGCTCCCTGTGCCTCGGGCTGTCAACAGGGGGATGGCCCGGTTCACCCTCTGCTTCTGGGCCTCCGATTGGACCTGCCAAGCAGGGTCCTAATCAAAGAAATAATTGACTTAATTGCTTGAGACAGCCCAGCCCTAGAGCCAGGGGGCAACTGCTCCCCAGGGCGGCCCATGAGAGACTGGTGGGGAGGGAGGACGCCCGGCCAGGGACCCTTGTACACCCCCACCACGTCTCCTGCCCCGCCTGCGTGCTAGGGGCCCGGTTCTCATCACTGTCGCCGATAGAAACCGGCAGCACAGAACTGCTCACGACAGGGGCGGGCGGCCGGGCGTGCGGCCTCGCGGCTCTCATCATCCCCGGGCTCTCTGTGCATCCTGACCCGGCACTGCAGGGGCCGAGTCGCGGCCCAGACAAGAGGCTGCGGGCCTCCAAGTTAAATATTGACAAGCTGGCCCTCGATGGCAGCCCGCCAAGCCCCGCTCGAGGCCGGTGGCCCCGGTCATCCAGAGGAGCATTCCCCAGCAGGTGGGCGCCCGAGGTACGGGGGAACCGTTTCCACGAGCAAAGTTTATCTTTACAATCGAGTCAACGCAAAGAAAACGGCTCGAGTCTGGGGCTGGCGCGGGCGCCTTGGGTGATGGGGGTCTGGCCCGAGGAGACGGGAGGTTCGCACTGCCTGCGACCTCACTCTCTGGGTGCAGGCCCAGACCGTATCTGCACACCCCGACGCCCCGCCGGCAGCCCGCACACACGGCGGCCTGTCCACTCCCCCAAGGACCGTGGGCTGAGAAAGCGCCGTGGGCTGAGAGGATGCGCCACGCCCAGCCAGCGATGCCCCGAGGTGTCAGTACTGGGGTGGGGGGCACTTAGCACCCCACTGACACCACCCCTCCCGCCATAGCCCCTTCACGGGACCCCGGATGCAGTCTGGAGCCTGGTGGCCTGGCCGAGCCTGGGCCCGGCTATGGGGCTGAGCCGCTGACAGCTCCCCCCAGTTCCCTCCCCGCAGAGCCATCCCATCCGGTCGGTCCGGCAACTCTGACGCCACTGTCACAGGCATCTCTTCCCCGAAGGAGGAGAAAGCAGCGGAGTCGGGGGCGGAGGCACACGGGCCAGGGGTACAGAGCAAGGAGCCCCAAGCAGGGACGCAAGGTGCGGCTTTCGCTGAGCCAGACCCTCCTCCCCGGGCCCCAGACCCTGCAGCCCATCTTGGACCACGTCCCTGTCCGCATGCAGACTATCCCCAAGGTCAGCAGATAGTCCTGGCCCCTGCAGCCCGGAAGGTGGAGGCCCTGGTGGGGGGGGGGGGGGCAGGGGGCGGCTCTGGGCTGGTGGTCAGCTGCTGTCCCATCAGGCTGCCCTGTCTGCCTCAGCTGTTCTGCACCCTGAACCCAGGGCCCACCCCAACCCCCCAAACACCCCCCAGATCTGTCCAAAGCCCACCATCACGACCACCTCGCTGTGGCAACAGGCTGACTCCACGCCCAGAGCCCATGGTGCGGCCAGACAGCCTGAGGTGAGCAGAGAGAGAGAGAGAGAGAGAGAGAGAGAGAGAGAGAGAAAGAGGGGCCTGGTATTTCCGAGGACCCTGGCTACGGGGGATGCAGGCAGAAGGGTCTTGGGACGGGGCCGCTGGCTGTCATATGGGGCCTTCGCCAGGGGCCCTCGCAGCACGAGATGGCGGGTTCTGGGCTGCAGCCCTGTTCTCTGGGCAGCCAAGAAATCGCCTCCAAGGATGCGGCTCCGACATCCACACACTTTAATGAACTGGAACCTCATTAGGCCTTCGGAGGGTATTTTTTTCCTCTCAGTTTGACGGCAAACTTTTCTCTCCCGTCAGTAGGGTGTGCCGGGAGGCGCGGGACAAAGGGCCTGCTCACCCCCCAGTTCCTGCACAGAAGTAACTCATCGACCTTCCGGGCGCCAGTTTTCCCCGTTCAGAAACGGGGGACTGTGGTTAACGGGCCTGCAGAGCCAAAATTGTTTTCAGCAGTCAGATCCGGGTGCCCGAGACCTGCCCGAGATTAGCATCAATCACGGACCTGACCCCCAGGAGCCAGAGAATTTCACATGCTTGATTCAGAGGCTCTTTGGAACCCTGTGAGAGGCCCCTGACACATATCCCCGGGCTGTCCCCCTGGGTGTGTGTGAAGCAGCGGCCGCTTAGCTGGCTTCCGAGACGGTGATATTCCCCAAGCGGGCAGTAGCGCCCCCTGGGGGTGGGGGCATTGGACAGATCCAGGTGGCCTCAGGTGCCACAGATGGGGGTGGTGTGGAGGGAGGTGTCTTTTTTTTTTTTAAAAGAAGGTGAATTTTGGGGCTGAAGTGACAGCACAGCGGGCAAGGCGTTTGCCTTGCACGTGGCCGACCCGGGTTCGATTCCCAGCATCCCATATGGTGCCCTGAGCACTGCCAGGAGTGATTCCGGAGTGCAAAGCCAGGAGTAACTCCTGGGCATTGCCAGGTGTGACCCAAAGAGGAAAAAAAAGGGTGAATTTCTGCAAATCAGATTGGAAGGCTTGTTCTAGACGCCGGTGGAACCACGGAATCATGCAGAAGAGACAGAAAGCGCTGGAACATTGGGCTGAGTTCATACCAAAGTAGGCACACTCTCTCCGGTTTAGTAAGTGGAGCTGTTTGCTCCTTTTTGGAGCGGGAGGCTTCCGAAACAGTGCTCAGGAGTGTGTGTGAGGACCCGCGGGCGAGAAGCGGCTTGGGCCGGCGTGAACAAGGCAAGAGCGCGCCAGATGCCTGCTACCGTGTCTCTGCCGCCTACGAGAGGCTCTGGAGAGGTCACGCAAACGGGCTCTCAAGGAACAATCTCAGCATAAGTCGGATCGCTCGGGGCCTCTCTGGTGAGGACAAAGCCCAGGCGAGGCTCTGCAGGGACTCCCGCGGCTCGGGGGCCCCGCACCTCTCTGTAGCCCCCATTTCTCTCCAGCGCCACCAAGTCAGAGGCACCTGTCGGCGGGTTTCGCCCTGGGAGCTCACAGGTGCTGCGGCCCCCGAACGCAGGAAGAGAAAGTGCAGTGGCCTCGGCGTCTGGCCCGGAACAGAGAAAGCGCGGGATGGAGGCATGTCCCCCCTGCCACTCCATGGGGGGAGCCGTCCCCCACCAGGGCGCAGGGCAGGGGGGGTCCCATAGCACCCACAGACATTCCCTTGCGGGAGCGACCGACCACCTTCTGCGATGCCCACGGGGCAGTGTCTGACGCTCTCCCGGAAGGAAGGGTGGCAGGAACAGGCCCCAGAAGGGGCAGGAGGAGCACGTCGGTGGCCGAGAAGCGGTTCTATCAGCTCGGCCACCGAGACACTCGGAGACACACACACCGTGCCAGGGGCGTGAGGAGGGGCTGCAGAGATGGGGCACTGGCTCCCTCCATGAGCCCCGGATATTAGGCCCGCCTGGGGGGTACTCTGATGGCCTTGGTGTCTGGTCCCCGTCCAGGCTACCCTGGGCCTCAACAGCCAGCGCCCGCCACGGCCGCCCGGGCACTCTGCTTCTGCAGAGGTTGGTCAGGGACCTGAGAACACCTTTGGAAGGCTGGGGACATGCGGTCGTGCCACCCGACCCGTGGACACTTCCTGGCGTCTCTCTCCCGGCTCCACTAGGGGTTAGTGGAGGAAGAGGCCGCGGGGTGTGGGGAGGCCGGCACTGCCCTGGGCTCGCGGCCACCGTCGGCCAGGTGGCCATCGCCAGGCGGGGGACTGACCTGGTCCAGGCGCAGCGCCCCGTCCCTGAAGCGCTGCCGCCGGAGCTCCTGGGCGATGGCATGCAGCTGCAGCACGGCGCGGTGCACGTCCCAGCTGCTGTGCTCGGGGCCCACAGGGGGCAGCTGCTCGGCCGGCAGCTCCCGCGAGGGGCTCTCGATCATGCTCTGCGCGTGCTCGTAGCTCAGCTTGGCACAGGAGCGGATGACGGTGCGGCCGAACCACTCGCTGAGGATCTGCGGAGACAGGGCACGGGGCTGAGGGGCCGGCACCACGGGCCCATGCGCTGTGCCCCGGGACATGCAGGGACAGAGAACTAGGCAAGGCGAGGCGGGCGGGGCAGGTCCTTGGGGGGATGCGAGGTGCGGGGGGTCAGGGAAGCCCCCACCCCTGGGTGACCCCTAGTGCTTGTGACGGGAGGGGAATGTGGGGGTCAGGCTGGGGGGCGGACGGGGCAGGGGTGAGTGACGAGAGGGGACTGTGGCGTGTCGAGGTCGGGGGTGAGGGGGGGAGCACTGGGGTCAGCGGGGCAGGCGGGCGGGCAGGAGGGACCGTCTCTGCCCGGGAGGCTGGAGACCCTCGGAGCACTCTTCCTTCCCTTCCCCCAGGAGCGAGCGCCCAGGGGGGGCCCAGGAAAGGCAGGAAAAGCCTCACAGAAATGCCCCCTGCGCCCAGTGCTCGGGGCCTCGAACCCGCTCCCAGCAGCTTCTGGATTGTTCTGGAACCACAGAACCCCTGGGACAGGGAACTCGTGGGGTGCTTGAGGCACTGACACTGCACTGGGGGGCACTCCTGCCCTGGGGGTGACTGCGCAGCCTCTGGCCCCCGCCAGCACTCGTGGGGGCCATGCCTGCCTTTCCCAGCACCCCCTGGTCACTTGACAGGCAGCAGACCCCCCCCTCCTCTCTGTGTCCATGGACCAGCCGGGCACGCTGCGGCAGGTGTCAGGATACTCCCTCCTGCCCTAGGCAGTATCTGGGGGTTCTGCAGGCCACCCACAGTCTATGCTCTGTCTCCCCGGGGACCCCCACAGCACTGCAGACCTGCCTAGCATGGCCCAGGGCCACAGGCTACCCTGGGCACCTCGTTCCTATAAACTGCTGGGCTGAGAAATGCTCCCCGAAACGTACTCGATGATGCCAGCAGCCGGGCAGTGCCCCCACCCTGCACCCCTTCCCCACCCCTCCAGCCGCCCGGCCTTGTGCCCATGGTAGAGCCAGGCCTTCTGGCAGAGTGTGTCCCTGGCTGAGGATCCAGTTCCTAGTAAGTTCCTAATATCACTTTTTTTGGGGGGGGACGGAGCAGGGGGCTCCGGAGTCACTCCCAGGGGACCATGAGGTGCTGGGGATCAAACCGGGTCTCCCACACACAGAGCCTGGAGTCATCTCCGCGGCCCCCGAATATGGTTGTCTGTATTTTTGGTATATGCCCAGGGTCCACTCCTCTGGGCTCAGTGGACCGTATGGGGTGCTGGGGCATGGACGCTGGTCGGCCACGTGCAGGCCAGTCCCCTCCCGGCTGTGTCATTCCAGCCTCCAGCCCCTCCCCCATCCGATTCTGGCTGTTTTAGCTCCCGGTGCCACAGCCGAGAGCGCACAGCCAGGAAAAGAGCCTCAAATACACTCGAGCTTGATGTAACAGACACGGAACGGCCAGGCAACCGTCACCTCTGAAAATGGTTCCATTCCGTTCTGATGGATTTGAAAATTTATCTCCCCGTCCCCCTGACCAAAGGAAGCCCAGTGCGTCAGTGAGAAATCGCTGGTTCAAACATCTGCCAATGGGTAATTTGTAACATTAAATCAACAGGCACAGAATCGCTGCCCAAGGCTCTGGCTGGCTTGGTTCAAACGCAAATCAGGAGGGAGAAATAACCATTTTCCTGACCGGAACACAGCCAGGTGTGTGTGGGGGGGCTGGGGTGAGGGGGGCCCCCGCAGATTCCTGCCACTTTTCACAGCTGTGACCCCAGGAGAGCCCCCTGGTGTGAGTGTGTGTGTATCTGTGTCTGCTTCTGTGAGTGTGTCTGCATGTGTACATGCTTGTGTGTTTATGTTTCTCTGCGTGTCTTTGCATGTGTGTGCATGTGTATATCTATGCATGTCTGTGTACATATGCATGTGTGCGTGTGCGTGTATGCATGTGTATACATGCATATGTGTGTGTGTGTGTGGGGGGGAGAAACATCATAGGGGCTCAGGGGGGAGGCCGGCAGGGCCATTACTGCGTGTACAGGCAGGGCTGTTGGTGGGACCAGCCGGGGTGCGGCCGTCTCAGCTGGCCCTATAGGTCCAAGGGTCTGGAGGATGGAGGCAGCCGGCAACACACTGAGACCACTGGATGCCTCTGCTGAGGTCACTGAAGGTGCCTGTCTCAGCCTATTTGTTTATGTGCTGGAATTTTCTGAAAGGCAGAAAAACACTGAGTCCTTGTCTGCCATCTCAGGCCACTCTGCGGACCCCGACTGGAGCAGGCCCCTTTCTCGGAGAGGCCTGAGGGGCTGCGTGAGCAGCGGGCCTGAGGGAAGGAAGAAGGAAAGTCCCTTCCCGTGTGCCGTGCAAACCCAGGAAACAGGAGGGCATGAGATGGGACGGACTGACCCGGTCCACTGCCAGGTGGACAGAGGATGGGTGGGTCCGGGCAGGAATTCTGGACACCAACGCCTGGCGAACAGGGTCACCGCTAAGTGTGGCCACCATGTGGCGTCTGTCCCACAGTGCCCCTCCCCCCCCAACTCCACTCCGGCTGCACCTGACGGGTTCGAGCATCTCTTCCTGGAAGCCCAGAAGCGGCAACCTTCACCTCCTCCACATCTGCCCTCCAGCCCGGGGGCCAGCGGCCATGGCATAAGATCTGCCTCCCAGAGAAACTCGAGACCAATCGGGATTCCTGAGTTTGCTTTAGAAGACGAGGCAGCTTTTTCTTTCATCAGATTGCAAGCCCTTTTCTGCGGATTCAAGTTACTTTTTTTATATGGGCCTTTTCTCTTTAATTTCACAAAAATAAGTGCTCAGGAAAAGGCCAAAGTGACGTTTTCCAACATGCTAGGAAACACACCCAGAAAGCAGGGCGTTACCGATGCCTCACGCCCACTGCAGGGACGGCCCCCAGTCCCTCCTGGTCCCTTCCCATTCACTCCCTGCACTCCCATGTGACCACTGGCCCCTGACTTCACAATTCTTTTCTTGGACTCTGGATAATGTACAAATTGCTTCTTGACTCCTGAGCACGCACCTCTCATCGGACACAGGAACTGTCAAGACCAAAGGTAACACGGACACCTTGTCTCCACCACAACTGGGGCGAAATAATGTCAGACTGTGTGGGGGAAGGCAATGGTACTGTGTCAGGTAAGGGACTCAACATTTGGGGGGGCCCGTGGCACTGTGTCAGGTAAGAAACATTTTTCTTGTAGCCTATGAAAATGTTTTCAAAAAATGAGAGTGATGTCTCTGATTTTAAAAAATGGAGGTGGGAGGTACTTGGGCTACACTTAGAAATGCTGGGGATGCTCCTGGCTCAGTGCTCAGGTACCATGCAGTGCTGGGGGTTGAGCCTGTGGTTGGGCATGCAGAGCATGTGTTCTAGACTGTGGTTATTTAGGCATGGGTATCTGGTTCATGCAGGAAAACAACACATGGTACTGACTACCAATGATAAGATCTGAGGCCCAGAAAAAATGAACCTTTTTGGAGACTCCTGTTTGACAGTGTGCCCTTGGGGTCCGACGTGGTGAAGGTCACACTGAGCCAGGGTCTTCCAGATGACAGATGATGGCCAAGGACCCTGCATGGCTGAAAGAGCCATTCAAAGCTAAGTCAGATCAATGTCATCACTTTATCTTTTGCCTTTTGGGCCACACTTGGCGGTACTCTGGGGTTAATCCTGGCTCTGTGCTCAGGAATTACTCCTGGTGGTGCATGGGGGACCATATGGTGTGCAGGGGATTGAACTTGGGTCGGCCGCATGCAGGGCAAACACCCCACCTGCTGCACTACTGTTCTGGCCCCCAGTTCTCAGTAACTCTTCAGAATAAAGTATTTGGTAGTTACTGATCTGAACTGGCCTTCAAGAACTCAGGCATGTTGTGTTAGGATCTCTCTCCTAGCCCCTTCAGATGCAGTCCTCTGTGGATTAGCGGCTTCTCTGTGGAGAGCTGAGATGCGGGACGTTGTTCTACCATCTCGAGGTCAGGAGCCAGCAGATGATGTATGGCCTGCGGGCTGATTGACGCGTCACTCGTGTTCACGTGCTGTTCCTTTGGAAGTGAACCGTGTCTTTCATGTATGCCTTACAGGCTTTCCTGCTATGACAGCAGAGTACTCTGAGGAACTGCAACGCCAGAGATGTTTGTAATCTAATTTCTTCCACCTCACCTGAGACGTTTCTCTTCTGTCTGGTGCTATTTCACACACGCTCACTGCAGGCTGGCCAACCATGTTTTCTTGTAGTTTCCTGAGGAACATGGCAAGAAGAAAGGGAGATTTTTCTCTCTGCCTCCTACCCCCTTTTTGGTGGCGGCCTTTTGTCAGAAATGTCTTCCCTCACCAGATGTCGCTATCTTGGCTAGGCACAGAAGTTTGAGGTGAAAATCACAATCTTTCAGAAATCCCAAAACTCTTCTTCGTTGGCATCTCGGGCTGAAATATAGAGTGTGTGACTCCATCTTCTTCTCATATGCCTGAGGGACCCTTCCTGGGCCTGTGGAGCTCTGGAACTTCCCGACAGCATGTGTGGAGAGGATGCGTGTCCACTACCAGGCTGGACAGGAGGCTTTTCCAATGGGGCATGGGCCTGAATTATTCTCATGATCTTTTCTTTCCCTGTTTTCATTGTTCTCTATTTCTGGAATGTTCACTGAACAGATGTTGGGGATCTTGGGCTGGTCCCTGAATTTTCCATCTTTTTTATTTGTATTTTGGGCCGTACCCAGCAACGCTCAGGACTCACTCCTGGCTCTGCACTCAGGAATCACTCCTGGCGGGCTTGGGGGACCATATGGGATGCCGGGGATCGAATCCGGGTTGGCTGTGTGCAAGGGGAGCTCCCTCCCCACTGTCCTATCGCTCCAGTCTCTGAAATTTTCCATCTTGCTGGGACAATTGCCCAAGTCGATCTTCCGACCAGAACCTTGATTTTTCCTCCCTTCTTCTATCACGTCGTTCATTTCCAAGAGTTTTTCCTTGTTTCTTAACCCCATCTTAATACTCACGTTTCTAGATCTTGCGATCTAGATGATACACGCCTCTTAAAACCACACTGACACTATAAGGAGTTGACCTTCTCCCTGTTTCGGTTTTTGGTTTCATGACAGAGGCTTCCCTTTCGGTCGCCTCTTCTCAGAGGAGATTGTTAACACCAGTGATTTGAGTGAAACTCCGAGTTTCCAGGCGGCTGTGGGCAGAGGCCCGAGTGCCGGGACCTGGCTGGGCCATGGCTGAGATTCCCTGAGGTAACCTCCTAGAAGTTTCGGCTCTTCCTTCCTGTCTCTCCCCTCTCGGGATTCAGGCATGGGGGCATTGCCAAGCCGGGACTGGCAGGACACACGGACTCAGCCTGTGCCATCCAAGAACCGCTCACCTCCACTGCAGTGAGCCTGTCTGTCTGTCTTCTGGTTTAGGCATTTTGTACTTGACCTTGTCCAGGGACTAGAGTTCTGGTCTTTACCTAAATATTGGGGGGGGGGGGCATCTCTCTCCTCCACTTTCCAGTTACACGGTGCTGTTGGGTTCTGATTTTTTTCCTTTTTCCTCCGGGCTGTGCCGTGCGGACGGGCTGTTTCTTGGCGTCTCCCCTCCCTGGCCGAGCACCCGCTTTCTCAGGCTGCTAAGTCAGTCAGCGCTCATCCATCTGCCTCCCCGCGGCCGGCCTCTGTTGCTCTTGTCTCCTGTCCCACTCTCTTTGTCCTTGTGGGTTGAGGCCTCGAAAAAAAAAATCTCTTCACTGTTGTTTTAGTGAGGTTTTGGGAAGGAATGAAAGTGAATGTGGGTATTTGATCCTCCATTTTTTACTTGAAACCTCTTCATAATTAAATATCTTTTTTGTAACTTCCATTGAATATTACAATATAAACATTTCCCTGTTCTGACATGATCTTTGCAACAGTGTTGGTAATTGTATAACATCCCATGGATTTGGATCCATAGCTTATGGACTGTTACTCTGTTTTTGAATGTTTAGAGTTGTTTCTGGGTTTTTTTTTTTTTTTTGGAGGTGTGTGTGGGGGTAATTTTCCTGGAACCATCTTTCATTTATCTGTTCCCTATGCCTCTATTCAGGAATTGTCTACCGACATTCTCCTTTGCTCTTGGCCCACAGTTCCTCTGGGGTCTCGGTTATGGCACGACCTTGCTAATTTAATTCCCCCTTAAACCACCAGGCCCTCCCACACAGGCTCGGGAGGCGGGGAGAGACAGTCCTGGGAGGGTGCCTGCTGCCTTCAATCCTGCCCCCAGAGCCAGGAGAGCCCTGCGCACACAGTGTGTGTCCGAAACACAAAGTACAGAATAGTAATAACAAGAAAACAGCCATGACCTTTCTCTTCCACTGAGAGGCCCCGTGCTACCTAGTATTCATCTGTGATGCATCCAGTGCCCTGTCCCCCTCCCCCACTGTACCGGACTCCACCACACCCGCCTGACCCTGCCCGGTTCCCGGTGTCACTGTCAGCTGCGAGCTGCCCAGGGGCCTGTCTCTCAGTGCCTGCCTCAAGGCCCCCAGATCCGGAGGAACATGGCCAGGCGTGGTCCTCTGCTCAGGGGCCCTTAACACGCTTCCTCAGGTACGGCTACTCCCTCCTACCACCAGGCAGACAAGGAACTCATGGAAGGTCTCTCTCTCTCTCTCTCACACACACACACACACACACACATACACACACATACACACACACACCAACTCACACAAAGACACATACACACTCACATACCCCCACTTACACACACTCGCATACCCCCACTCACTCATACACCCCCACTCACACATATACACTTACTCACACACAGACAGACACAACCACTCATACACAGACACACATTCACACACCCACCCACGTACACACTCACACCCCCACTCACACACACATATCCCCACTCACACAGATACACTCACACCCCCCCACTCACACACACACCCACTCACACACAGATACACACTCACACATATACACCCACACACACACCCACTCACACACAAACACACCCACTCACACAATCACACACACACAAACACACCTACTCACACATGCGCACACACACATACACACACACCCACTCACACACAAACACACCCACTCACACAATCACACACACACACTCACACACACTCTTCCGCTCTTACCTTGCCCTGCGCGGTCAGTGTCCAGATGACGGAGAAGGTGAGCTTGTCGGTCATGGGGTTGAGGCTGCACAGCTCCTCGCACAGCAGTCGGGGGAGCATGGGGATGACCTGCGAGACAGCGCGGCCGTAAGCACGGGCAGGCGGGAGCGGCTCCGCCCCGAAAACGCATCAGCCCCGTCCCAGGAGCCTCCCGAGCCGAGACTAGTGGGGGCCAGGGGCGGGGCGCCCGAGTTCCTGGAGCCTCACCTGTAAGCCTTCGGTTTTATCTGAGCCACACTGGGGGGTGACCAGGGTTTCCTCCTAGGGCCCACCCCCGGGGGGTCTGTGGAGTGCCAGGGACCGAACCTGGGCCGCAAGGCGTGTGCCGTACCCGCTGTGCCATCTCTCTGGCCCACCTTGAAGTCCTGGATGATTTCTGGGCAGAGGGCAGACATGGGCCCGCGTGCATTCTTGGTGGTGAATGGCCAGTTTCCCCGGCACCATTTCCTGAACAGACTGTCCTGCCCCTCGCTGTCCCCAGCACTCTGTCCCGGCCCACGCAGGGCTGGGAAGCGGTTACACATCGACCGTGAGAGCAGTTGGCACCACCCTCGGGGCTTCTTCCCGGCCCGTCTAATCTGATCCGGGGCACCCTGGGCGGTTCTGACTTTCTGACAGTGCCTGTGTCAGGAGTGTGATGCCACGAGCTTGCTCGGAGCCCTCGTGGGGGCACCCGTCAGTTTGCAGCCGCGTGTTCTGATTCCCGTGGAAAATGCCACTGCGATTCTGGCAGGGAGCACAGCCCTGTGGCCCTTTGGGCGGCAGTGTGGCCTTTTGAGGCCGCTCCGTTCTTCAGGGACACGGCCTGTCTCCACCCACCCGGGTCTCCGATCCCGCTCGTCCAGAGTCCTCAGCGCTCAGTGCTCCACGCCCGTGGCTGGGTGTATCCCGGGCCTCCTGCTGCTCCCACTGCCGTGGCCAGTGGGGCTTCTTCTGCAGTGGCTCCCAAGCGGTAAACACTAACTAGGGGAAGGCAGGGACACCAGGACAGTGACACGTGACATCTTCTAAACAGCAGCACGCAAGTCAAACAACGGGGTCTGGGACAATGCTTCAGAGGACAAAATGCGAGGACGGTCTCCCCCAACTGTCCCTGTGGGCCGAGAGCCCTCGACACGGAACACCGACTGAGAAGAGGCATGAAGGAATTCCAATTTAAAATGAGCCCCACACTCGGCTGTGACCCCGGGTGGGCTCTTGTGACCCCAGAGTCTGGAGGGGACGCGCAGACTCATGTTGGCTGGTGCAGGACGAGCAGCAAAGGCCCGGCCTGGCCTCACCCGTCCGGGCCGTGACGTCCTTCCCTGTCACCCACCTCCTCCTTTGTGAACAACAGGAAGTGCCCAGCAGAGACCCCCCCCGAGCTCCTCCGCGCCCCAACACTCGGCCTCCTGTAGCCTCAGCCCAGTTGCGCCTCTCTCTGGGACTGTCACCTTCGGCCCATGGTGGCCTGGCCTTTCAGACTGGGTCCTGCACTGTCCCCAGGGGGCTGCTCTGACGGGTGGAGTGTGTGTGACCAGGCCAGGCATGGCGGCTGGCACTCGTCCTAAGTCATCGCTGTCATCTCCTCCTCCTCCTTTGGGTTTTGGGGCCAGACCCATCTCTCGCCTTCCCCTGGAATCCCCCCCCAGCCCCCCACATGTCTGGGCCTCTCCCAGGACCCCCATCTGTTCGCCTTTCTGGCCACTTGCCACTGCCTCTCCTTCCCCCGCCCCCAGGTCCACCACAGAGCACGCTTCGGATGTCGTGCCCCCTTCCACCTACGGAGTAGCTTCCCCTCAAGACTGGGACACTGGTCAAAAGCCTGGCCAAGTGGTTCTACATGGAAAGTATCATGCTAAGTGAAATCAGTCAGAAAGAGAGGGAAAGACATAGAAAGATTGCATTCATCTGGGGGATATAAAGTAACAAAGTAGGAGACTGATACCCAAGAATAGCTGAGATAAGTTCCAGGAGGTTCACTCCATGGCTTGAAGGCCAGCCGCACACGCTAGGGGAAAAGGCAGCTCAGATAGAGAAGGGAGCACCAAGTAAAGGGTGTTGGGAGGATCCTCCCAGGATGGGAGATGCATGCTGAAAGTAGACTATAGACCAAACATGATTGCCACTCAATGCCTCTTTTGCAGACCACAACACCCAAAAGGAGAGAGAGAACAAAAGGGAATGCTTTGCCACAGAGGCGGGGGGAGTGGGGGTGAGGGGGTTGAGGAGTGGGAGGGCTACTGGGATTAGTGGTAGTGGAGAATGGGCACTGGTGGAGGGACGGGGTATTCGATCATTGTATAACTGAAACCCAAGCACAAAAATTTGTAAGTCTACAACTGGACTTCATGGTGTTTCACTAATAAAAACTAAAAAAAAAAAAAAGCCTGGCCAGACAGAGGGGGCCTCCGTCTCCTCGCCCCAGGCCCCAGCAGGGACCCCACACGTGCTGGAGGAACCGAGTCGGGGGCACTTCCTGAAGGGGCGAGGGGTGTGGGCCGGGGAGCGGCGAGGGCGAGCACGGACTTTCTAAGCATCCTGGCGAAGCTGACCGTTTAGGTAAACACGCAGCTGCCCAGAGGGCTGGGTGGGGGCAGCAGGGAAAGCCACAGCAGGGCCGGGCCAAGTTCAGCCACGGGTAAGCCAGGTCAGGCCTGCGACCCGGGCGGGGGCCAGAGGAAGGTCTGCTCAGGCTGGAGCAGGGCCCCCACCAGCCGGGACGGGGCCCACCTGAGCACCTGGGGCGGGCCAGGAGCCCCCGCCGCCCTTCCAGCCAGGCCTGGGGGGTGCGCCCTGATCCTCCGAGACTCAGGTGAAGTTCCTGAGCTTCCTCAGAGGACAGGGAGGTTTTCACAACGGGCTGGCACCCGGGCACAAGGTAAAGGAAGCAATCGCTTATTCACCAGCCAACAGGCTTAGAGAATTTCCTTCTGCGGATGGACACAGGCAGGAATTCTGAAGTTGATGAACTCACCTGCAGAGTAGGACACAACAAAACACCAGCATTGGACAGCTGGGAGGAGCCTCTTGGGGTGCCCAGAAATAGGGGGATCCGCCCCCCCATAGCCTGGGGTACCCAGAGACAGGCGGGCCCAGCGTACCTAGAGATAGGCAGGTCTGGGCTCCCCCATACTCCAGGGTGCCCAGAGACAGGCGGGTCCGCCTTCCCACCTCCACAGCCCAGGGCACCCAGAGACAGGTGGGTCCAGCCTCATCTTCAAGCCCATTACAGAACAGCATCAGTAACTTTGGAGATTTCTGGGTCAGCTTTCATTCACTGCTTCACACGTACAACAACATGGGCCGGAGGCAGAAAACGTAGGCTTCGGTTTCCAGCGTTGAGGCTTTCTCTCTCTTTGGAAACTTCAAGCGCCTGTTTTCTTATATTACCTGAAAACTACAGCTGGCCGGCACTTCCCTCGCAGAGAGAGAGAGAGAGAGAGAGAGAGAGAGAGAGAGAGAGAGAGAGAGAGAGAGAGAGAGAGAGAGAAGTGGCCTAGGATCCCACCTTCTTCTAAGGGAAAGAGCAGCTAAGAGCAGCTTTGGGGGCCGGAGGGACCCGCACCCCCTGCAGTCCCCCGAGCCAGTCAGGAGTGATCGCCTGAGTGACTGCTTGTCCCCCCACTGTGCTCCCTGCAACAAAACCCCAAAGAGTCTCTTTCATGGGGTTTCAGTTGAAATCATCTAAGCTCATCTCTCTTCCTGGGTGCCCCTGTCTGTTGCTAAGGAACAGGCAGCCACACATCACCATGACTAAAATCCCAGCAGGACACAACTTCCTGTGAAGGAGTGCGAGGTGCTGGGGGACCCAGATGGGGTCACTGAGACCAGGGCAACATTTCTCAGCCCCCTCCCTATGGTCCCCTTTGACCGGTTCCTTCTTGCGCCCTCCCTGACCCCTGCATCCTACTGCTGGTCCCCTAGCCTCCAGCTATGGCCCCTGTGGCGTGGATGCAGTTTTTCACCCCCGGGATTATCCTGGGGGGCCCCCGGGTTGAGAATCGCTTCTCCATGGGATGGTTCTCCACATCTCAAGAGCCGATGACTCTGACCTGTCACCACAGTCATGGCGAGGCTTGAGAAGAAACTGGTGACCGGCCTCTCAGAAGGGAAAGTGACCAGCAGCTCCTCACTGCATGTTGCCCTCGCCCCAAATTCCCCATGCCTTCTGGAAACAGGAGAAACAGATGGTTTTGTCATGTGAGATGACAGAAACTTGGGAGGAGAGAGCAGAGACTCTGAGAGAGATAGAGAGAGAGACTCTGAGAGAGATTGAGACTCAGAGAGACTCTGAGATAGAGAGAGACTCTGAGACTCAGAGAGCCTCAGAAACTTCAAGAGACTCTGAGAGAGACTGAGAGACTCCGAGAGAGACTTAGAGAAACTCTGAGAAAGACTGAGAGAAACTGAGAAAGAGAGACTCTGAGATAGAGAGAGAGACTCTGAGAGAGACTCTGGGAGAGACTGAGAGAGACACTGAGAGACTCTGAGAGAGACTCTCGGAGAGACTCTGGGAGAGACTGAGAGAGACTCTGAGAGAGACTGAGAGACTCTGGGAGAGACTGGGAGAGACTGAGAGACTCTGGGAGAGACTGAGAGAGACTCTGAGAGAGACTGAGAGACTCTGGGAGAGACTGAGAGACTCTGAGAGACACTGAGAGAGACTCTGGGAGACACTGAGAGACTCGAGAGAGTCTGGGAGAGACTCTGAGGAGAAAAGAAACTTGAAGGAGAGCAGCCCCCTTAGCTTTGAAGACCTTTATGGGCACAGCCGGGGAAGGGCTGAGACACTCCCGGCCACGGTGTTTAGGAAACAAGAACGAGGAGCAGGGAAGGCCGGAGCTGAGGTTGGAAGGACCGAGAGCTACAGCTGCTGTGTCAGAGGTCGGGGCCAGGGTCCCCCTGCCTTCTCCTCCCCGCGGTCACCGGGGCCTGAGGGAGAAGAGGGCACAGGCGCGCCCTGATAGTGGCCAATGCGGGTCCTTCCCAAGCTCCGGATTCTCCACACCCTCCCGCTGTCGGGATTCTCCCTCCTGGCGGCTCCTCATGCTTTAGGCCGAGAGTCGGTTCCCACGCCTCAGCCCCGGACAGCAAATGTCAGTGAGCAAGTGGGTCACCGCTGTCAATTGGGTACCCCGTGTCCAGCTGTGTGGAGCCCGAGGGGTGCCAGCTGGTGATGGCACCCACAGACGGGGGTGGGGGACACCCCAGGGAAGCAACTGCTGGGCTGGAGAAGTGGAGACATCCATTCACCTACTCCAGGGCGCCACGGCCACTTCCCACCCTGACAGCACGTGAGAAAAGTCACTGCAAACAGCCGCGAGGAGGTCTTCGGAAAGGTTTTGTGTTTCATCTCCTTTGGATAGATCCCAAGAAGTGTGACCGTGAGGTTGTACGGTTAAGCGTAGGTCTGGCCTTAGGCCAGGGTCAGGGTGCCAGGGTCAAGGTATTTGCCATGCCAACACCACCTGGTCCCCTGAGCACCACTGGCTGAGGCTCTGGAGGGCCCCGGTACCCCCAGGCAATCCTTGAGCTGTAAGGCTTGAGCAGCACCCTCAGACCCTCACAAGGGCTCAACCCTCAGCTACCTCAGCTGCAGAGAACAGGGTGGGGGGGAACCCCCAGGCCTTGTGAACAGGGCCCTCCCCCCATAAAAGAATTGATTTAATTTATACCTTTTGGGATTACAGTCAGCTGAGCATAGGGCTTAATCCTGGCTGTGCACTCAGGGATCGCTACGGGCAGGCTTGGGGACCATACGGTGGGTGCCCGACCTGCTGTACCATCTCCCTGGCCCCAAGAATAGATTTGTAAGAAACTGCCATATGGGGCTGGAGCAATAGCACAGCGGGTAGGGCGTTTGCCTTGCACATGGCCAACCCGGGTTCGGTTCCCAGCATCCCATATGGTCCCCTGAGCACCGCCAGAGGTGATTCCTGACTGCAGAGCCAGGAGTAGCCTCTGTGCATTGCCGAGTGTGACCCAAAAAGCAAAACAAGACAAAACAAAACAAAACAAAACAAAACAAAAACCTCTGCCATAATCTCTCCCCATTTGGCCGCGCCCGTCTGTATTCCCGTCGCCAACCAACGTGTTCCCGTCCCTCCCCACATGGACTCTGGTCATTCTGGCTGGGGCGTGGTATCTTGGACTCCACGTGCTGTGGTCTCCCTCTGATGAACTCATCTGCCATCTGGGCGCCTTCTCCGGGGAGGCGTCTGCCGAGGGGTCTGGCCCATTCTACATTGGATGGGTCACTTTTTTTTTTTTTTTTTTGCTGTTGAGACGTAAGAGTTCTGTGTATGGTCTGAACAATATTTATCAGACATGCGTTTTGCGAATACTTTAGTCTCTGGGTTGCTGTTCTGTCTCTTAACGGTCTTTCGGAGAGCTCAATGAAATGAAGTCTAGCTTAGCAATCCCTTCTCTGCTGGCAGTTTACTGGGGTCACATCTCAAGTGGTCAGCAAACCCAAACCGTCAAGGTGTCGTTCACTGCCATCGTCAAGGGCGCTTACAGCTCACTGCCAACGTTTTGGTCTGTGGTCCATTTTGAGGTCATCTTTGTCCCTCTCCTTGTGAGTGGCTGTGTGCAGGGCCGGGACGGCTGGACATGTGGGGCCCTCTCAGTGCTACTTGGTAAGCGTCAGAAACCCTTGGAGCTGTGGCCTCGGGGGACCTCTGCTGTGGAACAGCCAATCCCTCAGCCTAGAACACAGCCTTCCTGGGACTGGCACCGAGTCCGCTGGTGAGCGCAGCCAGGGCCGTGTGGGTGAGGTGGGGTGTCCGAGGCGAGGGGGGATGATCCCGGCTCAGGACAGCCTCTCTGGTCAGCAGAGTCTCAGCGCTGATTGCTAGCAGATGGCCGGGCGCGCACGGGCCAAATGACATCCCTGGCAGGGGTGGACGAGGAAGACTTGGGAAGGTCTCGGGTGCGTGTGATGAGGAGACAAGGGCTGTCCTGCCCTGGGCCCGTCTCCTCCTGGGGAGCGTTGGGCTCCAGTCTGACAGGGACTGCAGGACAGCAGGCGGACAGTGGCCCTCGGGACCATGCCCCTGGCACTACGGCACAGGCCTGTCCCCGCGTCTGAGTCCACGCTGGAGACACCCTTGATGCGAGGCCCCGGGTGGCCAGGCCATCTCTTTGGGTGGAGAGACTGGCCCGGGGAAGGTGCTGGCCTTGATGGCCACTGTGCTCCCTCCCAACACTGGTGCCTGAGACCTGGGGTGTCTGCACCCCGAGGGGTCCTAGGGTCTGGAGCGCATCTCCCTGAGGACGGCCCATCCTGGAGCACAGCAGGAAGGAGGGGTTCGGGTGGCCAGGAGTGCATGGGGAAGGGGGGGGGCGACGATTGTCCCACCCAGACCTGTGGGCAGCAGAGGTGGGGGGCCCAGCGACCCACCCTTCCCTCTGGCCTCCTGGTAGCCAGAGGGGGAGCTTCCAAGAGCTGGGGGCAGGGCGTGGGCGCAGAGCTGGCCTTTTGGGCAGCTGGTTCCTCTCCTGAGTGTTGTGCCTGATGGCCTGATGGCATCCTCATGGTTTCCCAGTGGTGGTGCCCAAGAAAGGGCTTCCGGTGCCTAGAAGGCCTCAGTGGGGCGGGGGGGGGGCAGCTTGCCCCCCGCGGGGAGGGTGATCTGAGCTGGCGAAGCCCCTTATCTGACCCCCGACGGGAAAAGGACGAGCTTGGGTCAAGTGAGAGTTGCCAATAAGCAGGTGGACCACGAGAGCGGCCGGGAAGACTCCCCCCCACCCCACCCCCGGCCCAGGTGACCCTGAGGATGCAGAGACAGGGAGGGGACAGGGCGGGGTGAGAGTGGGCGGGCAAGGCCCGGGCAGCTCCCGTGTCCCCAGGTTTCCTGGCAATGGTGGAGGCAGCTTGGGGCCACCACGTTTACTCACAAGGCTGGTGGCCCGTGACCCCCACTGTCCCCTAGAGCTCAGACAACACTGGGGTGTGGCACAGGACTGGGGGAGGCTGTGTGGGGGGATGGGAGGCCGGGGTCGCCGGGTCTGTGCCACCCTTGTTCTCTGGGACAGACTCTTGTCCCAGCACTACGTGGCTGGTGACCTGCACCCGGCACCTCGCGGGTTAGTTGCTCTTGACCAGGTCGGGGTGAGCACTGTTCCCGGGGGCCTTCTGTGTGTTAAGACCATCTGGGCCATGGGGCAGGGGGTCCAGGACGGAGTGTGGGCCCGGAAGGATGGTGCACGGGACACTCCTGCTTGCTGGCGCCCCTCCAACATCCATTTGAGCCCAGGCACCGCAGGCGGTCCCTGAGCCCCGCCAGGAGCGACCCCTGAGCACAGAGCCGGGGGTGAGCCCCACAGGCCCCAAATGGAAGATGGAGGGAGGTTCCTCGCGGTTCTTATCTGAAGAGCAAAGAGGAGGGGACGGGGACAGAGGCGCGTTCTTACCTTCTGGACCAAGTAGACGCTTGTCGCTCTGTCCGCGGCCACGTCATCCAGCTCGGACCCCTCGGGAACAAAGTAGCTCACGTCGGCAATGTGGACCCCCACTTCAAAGGTGCCTGTGGACGCAGGAGGAGGCGGTCAGCCGGGCAGGGAAGGCAAAGCTGGGCTGCGGCCGCCCAGGCCTGAGGTGTGCCCCCCTTCCCCCCGCCGGCCATGTGAGTTGAGACTTTCCCCCTCTGGCTGTTTAACATACCACCCACCCGTGCCAGGGGGCCGGCCTCTTTCTATGCCCCGAGCCTGAGGTCATGGCCCTGAAGAACAGCCTCACACCCCCTCCCCCAAAGGCCTCTAGTCTCCAAGGGCTGATGAGCAGACTCAGACCCGCAAACCCTCCTGACCAGAGCATGAACCCCAACCCGGCGGGCCCAGCCCCTGGAGGTGCCCTCCGCCCTGCACTGGCACCCGCCTTGCGTCCCCTCGATCCGCCGGGCCTGCTGCAGACACCCCCTGGCATCGGGAGGGCCCAGGAAGGGCCCCGAGCCCTATTTCTGCCCCTCGTGGCCCTTCCTCCATGACGTCCCCATGCTTCGGGGGTCTGTCCCCGGCCACCCCTCTCCGGTCGCACAAAGGGAGTGTGGCCAGCGGTCTGTGAAAGCTGAGGGAACCCCAGCTCCGGCCCCAGGAGTCTGGGCCAGCCCCACAGCCCCCCAGAGCTGCCGCCGACGACCCGGGAAAAGCGACCCCACTGCCAGGGCCCGGACGCTGCCTGGGGTGGGTGGGGCGCGTCCTGGTGTCCCGCGGAGTTGGGGCTGGAAGCTCCAGGCCTCACGGGTCAATACTGACGGGAGGGGAGCGAGGCCCATCACATCACGGGCCCCGCCGGGGCTGCTGCTACCCATGAACTCTGTGTCCCGCGTCGGAACGGACCGACCGACAGCGAGTTCACGACGGGAGAGGAAACGCAGCAGGGGCCAAGGGAAACAGGCGGGAGAGGCTTGAGTTTCACCGGCTCCGGCGGCCCCTCGGATGGAAACCCCATAGTTCCTATTCAGGACTCGGGTCTACACAGCGTGAACCTGATGCTCAAGGCCGCGCCACGGAAGCTGCAAGAGCCGAGGACCCAGGGCCCAGGGCGAGTGACCCCGTGGCCCCAGCGTGGGGAAGCCCCCGTTAGCCTCGAAGATTCTCTCCCGCACCGAGAAGCTTTTCCTCCGGGGCCCGGGGGGGCCGTGCAGGAGGAAATGTCCCGAGAGGCTGGCCCTGGCTGCCCCTCAAAGGGCCCTCACACTACACGGGAGACAGACGCGCCTTCGCCTGGCCCCGGGATGCCCCCAGAGCTGGGGGGGGGGGGAATGGGGCCCGTGGGGGGCACTCGGGGACAGGCCGGCGTGGGGCAGGGCCTTGCTGGGCTGCCCGGCTTGTTCTCGCTCAGAGAGCGCAGGTGCGAGTTCTGGGTCTGGGAGGAGCAGTGGACGTAACGCTGACCACGCTGACCGCCAGGCAGGGCCGCGATGGCCTTGCCGTCACGCGCTGCTTCCGAGCCAGGGCTTCGCGCACACCAGCCAGACCCCGCAGCTGCCCAGAAAACTGGGGGTGGTGAGTCAGGCCCCCCAAGGCACAGAAGATGCGGGACACTTCTCTGGCCCAGCCGCCAGTTCAAGATTCTGGCAAGATCCAGGCCACCTGTCCAGGGTTCTCTGGCTGGTCACTAATGTACCCCAGTGGGTCACCATGTGCGTCCCTGCACGTGCGAGGCCCCGAGTTGGATCCCCAGAAGCACAAAAACGAACAGGAAAGAGCCACGGGCCAGGCCTCAAGGTGGAGCTCAGAGTCTGGGCTCCTTTAACTGCTCCCAGCCTCTCAACTTCCTGTCCCTGGGGGTCAGGCGAGAAGCGTCTCCTCCGCCAGCTTGAGTCACAGCGGGCTTGGGTCGGAACCCTGGACACAGCCCTGGCCTGGGGTTCCCTAGAGCCCACGGCCCCCTCAGCAGGGCGCTGGCACGGAGGCACCTGAGCTCCGTCAGAACCTGCCACCAACTCAGGGGCAAGTGAAGCCGGGAGAACCTTCTGGGGTGCTCCTGACCGGGTGTCCGAGAGGGCTGAGCCCGGGCGCGGAGGCCACAGCCTTCCAGACTCGTCTCCTGCACTCAGGCTGAGCAGAGTGTGACACTCGCCCTCCGAGTGCGTCTGCGGGGGACCAGGGTGCTAACCGCGCCTCCGCCCGCCCCGAGGCTAACGGTCCATCCCTCTCCTGGACCTTTCTAGACTCACTGGGCTGAGTGGCCGAGCCCTCGGGCCTGGTGACAGCCCAAGTGAGGGGGCGGCCGTGTCCACTCCTCCCTGTCCCCCTCCAGGTCTGCTCTCCCAACTAGGTCCCCTCTCTCCTCCCCTCCTCTAAGTCCCCCTCCACGTCCCCCTCCCTCCCCTCCCCCTCTGGGTTCCAGCCTGGTGCTGGCGATTTGGTCTCCTCCAGCTGTGCCACGGCCCCGGCAGACGGTCCGAGTTCCGAGTCAGACTGACGCACACCGAGTCCCCTGGGAAATGCCCCTCACTGTCCCGAGCAGTAGCCATGGCAACGGATTTCACACCCGCAGCAGCTGAGGGTCGAGGGCTCGCGGTCACACGCCCTCACACCGCCCGGCGCCCGTCCCGGCAGAGCCTGTTCTCATGCTGGGCTCCCTCCCCCTCGGGGAAGCGGGGGCCCTCCGCTAAGGGCCCCGGGCACCCCCACCCCCTGACCCTCCCAACCTGTCTCAGCCAGCGCCGGCCAGTGCCCTGCTACCTACTGAGCTTGCATCCATGCTGACGCTGGTTCCCTTCCCAAGACGCCCAACTCTGTGCCAGGCCGCCATGCCAAGTCCCCGAGCCCCGAACATGCCCCCATCGCCCCTCCTGGTTGAGCATCACCAGAGGCTTCATCTGCTCTCCCTTCTCCCCGGCCCCCCACACCCTGGCACCCCTGAAAGCCACTTTCGAGGGCTTCCCTGAGGGCCGGGCCAACCCATCGCGCTCCATGTCTCTCCATGCCCACTGCCCTCTGTGGAGGGCTCACGGTAGCCTTGGCAGCACCCGGGCGCAAGAAGGGGCTGGACCAGCCCCCACCAGGTTCCTCATCGCACCCCAGGGCACCTCTCTCCGCCCTTCGTTTCCCCTTCGAAACCCAAACTCCTCCCCGACACCGGCACTTGTCATCAAGTGACCCCAAGAAAGCATCACCCAGGGGGGTAGCAAGCAGCCTGGCCTATCCAGGCAGCCCGTGCACGGTCAGCTGCGTCCCTGCGGCCTCCCCAGGGCAAGCACCCTCTGGGGTTCTGGGGGCTCGGATGGACACTGCATGGACAGGTGGGCAAAACGGCCGCCAAGGCCACGGAACCATCCGGGCCGGCTGCACACTTCCCGGGGGCCTGGCCCTGAGGCACCCAAGGAGGGACCCAGGGTCAGAGGCCAGAGCTGGGAGCCTGCCCCGGCCATGCGGCCATGGCCTTGGGAGAACAGTGGCAGGAGTCGCACCCATACTAGCTGCCCACACAAGGGGCCGGGACGCCCTCTGATGCTGCGGCCAGCCCGAGCAGTGCAGGGGCCATGCCCGAGGTGGGCAGGGGTCTGAGGTCGCCTGGGGGTGCACGCCGAGCCCTGTCTTTGAGCGAGTGCTCGAGTTTGGAGGCGTCCTGCACGCTCACTGCCTCCTTCTGGGGCCCAACGCCAGGCCGAACAGCCGAGGGGCGGTCGGCCGTCCACGGTCGTGACGTGCTAACAGTGCGAGGGCGTTTCACTGTCTTCAGAGGGGAAAAACCAAAACGGGAAAGCCAGGCGGGTGCCCAGGCCTGGGGGAGACTTCCCAGCGCGCCTCAGCTCCCCAGGGTGGGCCTGAGTGGCTCGGGCTGTTTCCTTGCCGCCCAGCACAGGGTTAACGAGGGCCCGGAGTGGCCAACTCCTGAACTGGTGAGCTCACCTCTGGAACTCGGCGGCGGGGAGAGCCTTTCCCTTCGCTATTACAAAGGCCTCTATCAATCTGCAAGTACTCAGCGAAACTGCCCACACAGCAGTTTCTGGCATGTTCCATCCGATTCCCAGGAATCCCAGTTTAGATTTATATGAACAGCACGGACGAGGAACACCCAGGTAGCCGGCTCCACTCTTCCCTGTCCAAACGCTCTGAGCAACGGCCTTCTTCGTGACCGCACGGCCGAACCCGGAGGCTGGCATGCCCGGAGCCTGGAGGGGGGACGCCCGGGTCAGCCGGTCAGGCCCGGGACAGGGAGAGTCGTGCCCCGCAGGGAGCCCGGGGTGGGGGCAGGGGGACCCTGCTGGGAGGCAGCTCTGGGTGAGGGGTCCCTGGTACTAGGGCCGGCAGGGGGAGGTGAGGAGGGGGTGGCGGGGGATTGAGGGTTGCAGGGGGAGGGGAGACGGGAACCAGGGGCTCCTGACACAATTTTCGACTTCTGCCCATGTTCAAGTAGCTCACTCCAAAAACTCAAAAAAAAAAAAAAAGGAAAAAAGTTAGCAGGGGTTGAAGCCAAAGAAAGAAAAAAAAGTTAAAGAAGGAATAATCCGATTAAGGCAAAGCAGCTGAGAATTGTAGAAGGCAGAGGAGGAGGAGGCCACGGCGGGAGGGCTGCGGTCAGGGGGGCACATGGTCAGGGCTGCGTCCGCAGGAGGGCGGGGCGGGGGACACGGAGTCCAGCTCACGGCGGTCGGGACTCTCCCTGCCTTCCCCTCAGAGGCAAGACCCTGCAAATCTTGATTTGTAAAGTATCACACAGGGCAGCCTTTTATCCCCTCCCCACCTTTTCAAATAAAAACACGTCAAATGCCGCGTGCCCGATTCCCCGCCGGGCGGGGGGGGGGGGCAGTAGGCAGTAGGTGGTGACCAGGGGCAGGAGCGCCTGCCCTTGGCCTTGGCCCTCCTCCCCCACCCCCGCCCCCACGTTGGTGCCTGTGTTCGGTGGGGGGAGGAGGTTGGCAGAGTCAGGCCGCCCCAGGACTGAGGAAATACGGCCTTCCCGATGCCAGCCGGGCTTGTCGGGGGGCCCCGGCTCCAGAGAAGTCGGCGTGAAACTGGATTTCAGCCGACTGGAGGACGGCTCTGCCGTTAAACAGTGTCTGTGACAAAACCT